ATAAACTATTTCATTTTTTTATTTTTTCCATGTCACTATTTTTCTAAATCACACTGTTCTAAATTAATATGAGGAAAATATATTTTACATTTTTATAAAAAATTTTGATACTCAAAATTTTTAGAGAAAAATATTGAACTATGAGTAAAACATTAAAATGTACCAAATATGAGTTCTATATTTTTATTCCCAAAATAAAAGTTACAATGCAAATACAAGGTCAATCGTTAAATAAAAAAATAGATTCGATCAGATTATATGACATGTCTCATATTTAAAATAAAATCTTGTTATATATGAAGTGTAATTACAAATATATTTTTTATAATAAATACTGTATAAATAAATTGAGGTGCAATGTAAATACAATAAGTTTTTAAAATTTAACATTTTGATATTTATGCTAACTCTAAATTCTAATTATTTTTTGTGAAAGTATATATTTTGTGTTTGAAAAATGACAATAGTTTATTATCTTAAAGACATTGATTAAGATAACGTGATTATGAATATAGTAATTATAATAATAAAGTATAGAAACAGTTATAATGAGAATAATATAAAAAATAAACTTAAATAGATGTTTTATAGTTTTTTTAGATTTTCCAATTGTTTCCAATTTTCTGATATTATCTAATTTTTTCAATTCTTTCTAATTTTTTCAAATTTCTTCCATTTTCTTAAATCTTTTCTAATTCTTCCCGTTCCTTTCTAATTTCTTTCAATTTCTGTAAACATTTACGGCTCTTCAAATTAACCTTAATCTTACTTGGACATTACCTCGCCATCCAAACGGTCCATTGACCGCTTCAAGTATTGAAAAATTGACTACCCCGTATTTCCCAGGAATACAGCGGCCCTGTGTAGCCGCTGCCGCCGCCACCACAATTCCTCTTCAGTCACCCGCAAAAGACCTCCAAAAACTCACCGCAATCGAGCACAACCCATCGTCGGTTTGGGTTCCTCTTCCAGATCAAAACAACCACTGGTTTGCATCTTACCCTCCCACAACATCTCGCTACTGCCGGAAAATCCAACACCACCGGAGCCCTGCGCGTATCCAGACGCACCCGGCAAGGAGTGTCCGACCGGCGATCTCTCTTAGGGCTTGCAATTGTTTCGAATGCTGTATGTGCGGGAGCAGTCATGCAACCGGCACGGTTCAATCACTCTAATAGCCTCTTCATCTTCATTTTATGCCCTTTGCAGTTAGTTCTCTACCCAGATGCATTTCCATTTCTCAATTTGAAAAATTCATACCCAAGAAGTGGCTCCAAAGTGTCAAAGTTTCAGACTTCCGAAAAAATATTGAATCCATTTTTTCTGGGTGTGATGATTTTGTTATAGGGACTCATATACCTTATGATGAATCAATGGTGGATTGCTTACTTCCTACATTGAAGAATTATGTCAGTGAAGGCCAATTGTTGAAAGCGTTTAGAATTTTCCGTCTTATTCAGTCGTATGTACCCTTGCAATCTCCATGTGGCACTGTGCTGCAATCCTTATCGTCTCTCTTCTTGTGTTGCATTAACCTTAAGTCATTTGGTGTGGGTAAACAACTCCACGCGTATGCTATTACTTCTGGTCTTGCACGCCATGGCATGTTGGTTCCTAAAATCATTACCTTTTACACAACATTTGGATTACATTTTTATGCTCACGTAGTGACTGAATCGTCAAACATTTTGCACCCTTTGCCATGGAATCTGCTCATTTTTTCCTATGTTAAAGCTAGGCGGTATGAAGATGCTCTATCTGCTTACAAGCAGATGGTGAGTAAGGGAATTCGGCCTGATGATTTCACTTACCCATCTGTTCTTAAGGCATGTGGTGAACAGGCAAATCTTTCTTTTGGGAGGGAGGTTCACAGGTCCGTATATGCTAGTTTGCCAGAGAAAAACATATTTGTTCAGAATGCTTTAGTGTCAATGTATGCAAAGTGTGGGGACCTGGATACTGCTCATGAGATCTTTGAAAGAATGCCGGTCAAGGATGCTGTTTCATGGAACTCAATTATTTCTGGGTATGCCTCTAATGGTATATGGAATAAGGCCTTTGATCTCTTTGAAAGAATGATGTCGAATGGTATTGAGTTGAATAGTATCACATGGAATACCATAGTTAGTGGGTGCACAAAAACAGGCAATTTTAAAGGTGCTTTTGAGTTGCTCTCGCGGATGAGAAATTGTGGATATCAGTTGGATCCCGTGGCTGTGCTTATAGGTCTAGGAGCATGTTCTCAAACTGGTTCGTTAAGGTTGGGAAAAGAAATTCACTGTTTGGCAATTCGGAATCATTTTGAGGATTTTGATAATGTGGCAAATGCTTTGATAACCATGTATGCTAGATGCCAAGATCTAAAACTGGCACACGTTCTCTTTCAGTTGAAAGAGCCTAAAAGTATAGTTTCCTGGAACTCAATCATATCTGGGTTCGCACATTGGGGTAGATATGAGGAAGCCTCGTCCTTTTTGCGGGAGATGTTGCGTTCTGGATTCAAACCGAATTTTGTGACAGTAGCAAGCATACTTCCCCTGTGTGCGCGGGTTGCAGATCTGCAACATGGCAGAGAGTTTCACTGCTATGTTACTAAGCATGAAGGGTTCGAGGAACAATTGTTATTATGGAACTCTCTTCTGGATATGTATGCAAGATCTGGGAAAGTGTATTTAGCCAAGAAACTATTTGATTCTATGAGCAAGAAAGATACGGTGACATACACTTCATTAATAGCCGGATATGGTGTACAGGGAAATGGAAAAGAAGCTATTAGACTTTTTGAGGACATGATTATGTCCCACTTAAAGCCAGATCACGTGACCATGATTGCTGTTTTATCAGCATGTAGTCATTCAGGCCTTTTAGTTCAAGGAGAGAAGCTATTTGAACTGATGCAAAGTGTTTACGATATAACTCCCCAATTGGAGCATTTCTCATGTATGGTTGATCTCTTTGGAAGGTCAGGTTTACTTAAAAAGGCTCAACACATTATGAAGAAGATGCCATTTGAGCCAACATCTGCAATGTGGGCAACACTGATTGGGGCATGCAGAATCCATGGGAATACAGAGATTGGGGAATGGGCAGCTGAGAAACTGCTGGAAATGAAACCAGATCATTCGGGGTACTACGTTCTGATAGCAAACATGTATGCTGCTGCTGGGTGCTGGAACAAACTAGCTGAAGTGAGGACCTTAATGAGGGACTCCGGTGTGAGAAAAGATCCGGGATGTGCTTGGATTGACATGGGTGCTGGGTTTTCATCATTTATGGTTGCAGACACCTCAAACAGTCAAAGGCGTGAAATTTATTCTTTGCTGGGAGGATTGACTATGCAAATAAAAGATGCTTCTCATGTTGCTAGTGAAGATGCGACATCAGATGAAGAAGCCTATGAGGAGTTGGTTGCATAGATCTTGAATAGAAATTAAAGAATCACTCCTCTCCATTGAGAGATAAGAATTGGCCTTCGGAGGGAGAAGCTGGCTTCTTCAGTTTCTTTTTTTGGGCACAGTCTGTTATTCCTCCGTGAAAAGACCTTGGGGAAATATCAGCCTTGGAGAGATGAAGGGATGGGGATCATCATTCATGAGGTAAATGATACATTGATCTGATTGTACACTATTCATTAACTATTTGTTTTGCTAGCGGTTAGTTCAATTGTTAACCTTGAAGGTAAATTTAGGTTCATGTTAGTTATGATTCCATTTTCTAGGGTCCAATTTTTTTCTACTTCTTCAAGTGCAATAATGCACTTGCACACATTGGAAACTATGGTGAATGTATCATCTTCTATGTGAAGGCATAATCATATAGTTATAAGTTTAAACATCTTCAAGTTTAGTCCCTCGCTACTTCAACTACCAATCTTATCATTTTTTTAATATAAAATACTGTTTTTTTCACAATTATGCCAAGAGTAATGCAGATCCTTACAAAATCTATTTTTATCACTAATAACTTGGATCGGACTTTGGATATTACATGTGGTAGTTTTCAAGTGAGTTAGACTCTTATGCTTTGAAGGCTCTGTTCCACCTCTTAGAATATTACGATTCCATTGAGTAACTAAATTGTTGACCGTCCTTATGAAATTTAGATGATAAAGTTGATGTCGAGATTTAATGGGGACGGTTCGTGGGTTGTGCTGTTTTTTTTCACCGGATCCAAATTTCTGCCTCCTAAGAAGTAAGAAAACACACTTGTGTATTGTGAAGGTAAAAACATATTTCCCTATTCTTTGCTTTGTAAGCAAATGATATTGTTCTATACTGATCAAAGCAGAGGTGAATAGACATTAGTGTTTTGTATAGAAACTTTTGCAGAACTATTTGTTTGTCGGAAACATCCTCTCTACCATTTCTNCCCCCCCCCCCCCAAATCCATGCACGGTTTTTTTGTTTTTATTTTTCCTTTTACAATTTGCACCCTCCGTTCCAAAATAAACTTCACTTTTTCCTTCTTGGGCAGTCCCGCAATAAACTTCTCCTTTCCACTTTTGGTTATAAAAAAAAAACTTGTACCGAAAATGACACCATTACCTTTATATTTAAAAATGACATTTTTTTTGAATGACATGCTTATTGTTGCTATAAACAATGCCCATTTGATTTGGTGTTATAATGTTCGTGTTTATTCATTCTGCTCATTTTGTTGCATGAACCATCTTCCCACATATTTGCAAGAGGTTTGAAATGAGTGATTCTCTTTTTTTATATTCTTGAAACTGTCCAAGGACAATAAATGGAATTTGATATGAAAAGTAGAGCATGAATAAGTAGAGTGAAATATGAGAAGTCCCCCAATAAATTTGGAAGACAAAGGGGGGAAGAAATGGTCGCATGTGCGCATTTCTCGCAGGCAACTAGAAACCAGCGGTCTTCCTTTCCTTCATTGTTGACTTTATAACCACCCAACCGCACAGCCAGCCATATCCTTCCTTAAATCATTCCCCATACATTACTCTCTGGCCTCTAATCACCCAATAATTAACATTACGACATGCCTGGAAGAAAAAAAACACAACCAAAACAACATTGTTGTTGATCAATTAATCGATAACGTGCGAGAATTACATTAAACGACATGACGGATCAAGGTTCGTTCTTGAACCGCATTAGCATCCGCCGCAACCAGGTGGCTTCCATGGAGAGCGGCAACAATCCCCATGACCAAGAGCTCGAAGACCTCGAGTTCTTCCAGAAACACGTTGCCGACCGCTTCTCCGAGCTCCTCCCCGCCTCGAAATCCGGCGACCCTACCGACTCCCCGGCGTGCGACCCCTCCCCTCTCCTCTCCATCTCCTGGTTCCGCAAGCTTCTCGACTCATTCATCCTCTGCGAGGTGGAGTTCAAGGCGGTCGTTCTCATCGGTCGCGACCCGTCGCAGTTCTCCAAGCCGCCCCTCGATCGCCTCATCCCCGATCTGCTTGACCGCTCTGTCAAGGCCCTCGACATCTGCAACGCCGTGAGCCACGGCGTTGAGCTTGTCAGGCACTGGCAGAAGCTCGCGCAGATCGCGGTCACCTGTCTCGAGCAGAAGCCACTGGGGGAGGGGCAAGTGAGGCGGGCCAAGAAGGCGCTCGACACGCTGCTCACGTCGATGGTGCTCGACGACAAGGAGAATAACAGCAGCCACGGGAAAATCTCCGAGAGGAGCTGGTCGTTTGGGCGTCGAAGTGGTGCCGCCGCCTCTAGCAATAAGGATAGGACTGCGGGGAGTTTCCGGTCATTGTCGTGGTCGGTGGCCAAATCGTGGTCGGCCGCGAAGCAGATACAAGCCATGTCGTCGAACCTCGCGGCTCCGCGCGGAGGGGAGACCACCGCATTGCCCGTCTACATAATGAGCACGGTGTTGCTGTTTGTGATGTGGGCTTTGGTGGCCGCGATCCCCTGCCAGGAGAGAAATGGGCTCACGGCCCATTTCCCGCTCCCGAGACAGGTGACGTGGGGCCAGGCCCTAATCGGGCTCCACGAAAAGATAGCGGAGGAGTGGAAGAAGAAGGAGAAGAAAGGGACTTCGGGGTTGCTCGAGGAGGTACAGAGGATGGAGAGAGTGGCCCAAACGTTGGTTGAGTTCGCCGACTCGTTCCAGTTCCCGATGGAGGAGGACAAGGCGGATGAAGTGGCGGTGCAGGTGGCGGAGCTGGCGGATGTTTGCCGGAAGATGGAGGATGGGCTGGTGCCACTCCAGCAACAAGTTAGGGAGGTGTTTCATAGGATCGTGAGGAGCAGGGCTGAAGTGCTTGATGTTCTAGATCAAGTTGGCAAAATGTCATCCCCAGTTCCATATTGATTCTGTGTCTAAATTTGAATTTTTGTTGTATGTATTTATTTTTTTACCGAAATTTTCCTTCACTTTTTTGCTCGGATTCTTTACTAGTACTTTCACGTAATACTTTTTCCCTTTTAATTAAATAATTGCAACACATTATGGAGTACTATTTATATTTAATTGCTTTGATCTTTTTTTTTTGGCTTAAATATATATAATATAAAAACATGTTACCGTAACATATACGGAGTAATATGTGTTGTTGTTAAATACTCCTGAGTATTTGTCCTTTTTGACTTTTTTTGGTCAAAATTGTTAAACTTTGAGCTCAAATAAAATAAAAATGATAGTAGATATTCATACGAAGATAATTTTATTAGATTTATTATATCAAATATTTTTAAAATATTATTTTATCTAATATTGTGTAGAAATGAAAATAAATAGACAGTGTTATTTTTACAATGATAGTGATCTTTTGGCTTTGAGTTTCAATACAATGTGATATTATTATAATAGCAGCCAATGGCTCTGTTAGGCTCGAAATTGAGTTCTCTCTCCCAATCTCCTTTCAGTTCATCGATTGACAATTACAGTTATAAGCTAGATTAAACACTCGTATAAATAGCATATTCTTTATATATTTGGACCAAACTAATCATGATTATGTATTTTTGTTTCTCATTTTTAGAACCTTTAAAACATTCCAGATGCATTTTATTTCTACATAATCATATTTGTTAACATTTGGCAAACTATGACACTATTAATAGTGTTCACATAAAATGCTTAGTTTTGAACAAAGATCTCAAGTTAGGTTGCGGGATGCGAAAAAATATGATCAAGTAGAGATTAGCCAAAGGACTAGATAAAAAAAATAGATCATGTTAGATTGGGATCGCACCTAGAAAGATTGAGACTCGTAAGTGTACCAATTCTACCAGTGTCATAATATGACATTGGTGCTCAATACCAAAAGATCATTGTTGTTTTTGCAATTATCGTCATATTTTCTACTCTCTCTGCCTCCTTTTATATTGCCTACATTGACTTTAGTGCATAAATACGAAAGCAAAAATGATGCTGACTTTTTAAAAATGTGCTTCCATAATTTTTTGTGTGTTTTGAAGCTAAAAACTGAACATAAATATTGGCCACCACACCCCATAAACACACCCAAAAAAATATTAATACAAACACACAAACACATCATTACATTATCAATGTAACACCAAATCCATCAATACATCACATCATTGTCTTGGTGGGAAATTTTTCCTCTATGACACCAAAATTACACAAATGAAGCTCGATTTAACCAAAATAGGTACAACACATTTAGGATTATCAATCCACGTACTGCCCAATACAAAAAAAAATCTCCAAAGCATAGCTCACTATAAAAAACTGCTAAAATCGCAACGGAAAAATTCTGTTGCCAAAGCCTGATTTCCGTAGGTAATAGGTGTAACGACGGAAATAACGATGGTTTTTTTCCGTCGTTATTTTTTCGTTAGTATTAAAATTAACAACGGGTTTTAAATCTGTCGCCAGGAAACTGCTATTTTTTCAATTTCACACACATCCATAGCAAAGTGCTCTAGCTCAGAAATCTCAGCATCAAACAACAATAAATACTAGAAATGAATATTACAAGAACCAAGAATATTCAAGTCACCAAGGCACAACTAAAATTCAAAAAATATATATAAAAATTCAACATAACAATTAAATCTAACTCCACTTACATAACCATCAAACTTAAGTATCATGTAATGTTCTTCAATTGTAATAAAATAATCAACAAGCGCCTGGAAACTCCGACCCTCCTCCATCTCCACCGCCATCTCCATTTCCACGTGGGAAAACTCCTCCATAGAGTCGGGTCATCTCTTCTCTAATTGACAATAGTTCACGCACTTGGAAAGCTCTAATGTCGTCTAGCTCTTCTCTCAATCTCCTTATCTCATCATCTCGAGGGTCCCACATAGAGCTAGTTCTAGCATGTCTTGCGTACTAGCATGCATTCACGGTAGGCTCCGTGCGAGATCTCCAACACAATGAACACGGTTCTTGGCATCATGTCCTCCGACTGTAAATATAAAAAACTCGTCAGGTATCACATTTAAGCCTTCTTCGCAGACTTCCTCCTACATGGCTACGTAGTTTTGCTGCAATACACCAAACATACATGTATATACGTTAACATAAAAAACAAAAAAAGGAGAGTAGTATGAATTCACATTCAATTGAATTCAACGAAAACTAATCATATATATATATATATATATATATATATATATATATATATATATATATATATTGTCACTTACGGGTACTTCTTCTGCCTTCTTATTGACGTAGGTCTTCCCATCATGTTTCTTCGTGTGTGTGTGTGAGTGTGTACGAAGAGTACAAGTCAGAAGCCTTTCCACTTTTACCCTAAAAAAATAAAATATATAAATAAGTGGAAACACGTCACTTAGAACATTTGAATGTAATTTTTGTTAGTAATAATACTTACAATGCGCACTTGAGACTCGCGAAAAGACAATGGACCACTAGTGTGCATGTCGCTACTAGGGGCATTCTCATCACCGCCACAGTGATTTTTCTTGTTTTGCTTGGAGGATGCCAAGAACTTTGGCGACTTCCAATACTGTTTAACAACATATAAATACAAATATTTAAATGTACACACACACACATATATATAGACACACACATATGTGTGAGTGATGTTTTCACATTTCAGACTTGAAGCGTATAACGTAACTCATCAATTTAAAAGAAATTTAGAAATACCTCCTTCCACATTTGCGGTACAAGTTGTTGCACCTACAAAAAAACTGCTAAAATCGCGACGGAAAAATTCCGTCGCCAAAGCCTGATTTTCGTAGGTAATAGGTGTAACGACAATTTTTTTTCCATCGTTATTTTTTTGTTAGTATTAAAATTAACGACGGCTTTTTAAATCCGTCTCCAAGAAACGAAGGAACCTGGCGATGGTTTTAACAACATAATTATTCCGTCGCCAAGTTTAACGACAGAAATGGCGACTGTTATAGCAATCTGACTACATAGCGACGGAATTGGTATTCCGTCGCCAAATCTGTCACCCAATTGACAGCAATTGCACAAAACCCTGCAATTTTTTTAATTTCACACAACAACAACATCAACTTGCTCTAAATCACAACACAGCATCAAATAACCAACAAATACTAGAAATGAAGAGTACCAAATAACCAAAAATATTCAAATCACCAAGCTACAATTAATATTTAAATAATATTTATAAAAACTCAATTTACAAAGAAATCTAACTCCACTTAAATAACCATAAAACTTAAGTTTAATATAATGTTTGTTAATTCTAGTAACACACTCAACACGCGCCTGCAAACCCCGACCCTCATCCATCTCCACCACCATCTCTATTACCACGTGGGAAAACTTCTCCATAGAGTCAGGTCATCTCTTCTCTAATCAACAATATTTCACGCGCTTGGAAAGCTCTAATTTCATCTAGCTCTTTTATCAATCTCCTGATCTCATCAACTCAAGGGTCCCACATAGAGCTGGTTCTAGCACGTCTTGCCTCACTTGCATGCATTCGTGGTAGGCTCCGTGCGAGATCTCCAACACCATTAACACGATTCTTGGCATCATGTCCTCCGACTGTAGGTATAAAAATCTCGTCAGGTGTCACATTTAAGCCTTCTTCACGGATTGCTTCCTGCATGGCTACGCACTTCCATGGCAGCCACAAAATTCGTCGCCAGTATATAACATTGGATTCTCCATCCTGTCGTTAAGACTGGTAGGCGAAAAAGTTTTGTCGCTGAATCTGTCCTTGTAGGCGTTGAATTGAAATCTGTCACTATATTTCATCGTGTTTTTTGCGTTTTCTTGTAGTGGTTGCCATGGAAGGCACCAACAACATAGACAATGCCATGGTACCTTTAATCCTTTATTCCACTCCAGCACTTCACCCAAACTTCTTTAGCAATGCACTAGTCACAAGAGAATAAGAAGATGTTAAGTAATTGGTGTTCTCATAAAAAGACCAATAGAAATCAATCTAATGTGGCGAAGAAATTAATCATATACTACCTCCGCCCCAGTGTATTTTTCCAGTTTGACTTTTTCGAGTCAAACTGAACAAACTTTGAACTCCAATTACTCTAAATTTATATAGCATATTTGCATAATGAAATACAATTTTGAAAGTTCTGAATACGATAAATCCAATAAAGTCATTTTTATATTAAATACATTATGGTTTTTATTTAATTGAAGCTCAAAGTTTGTCCAGTTTGACTCGAAAAAGTCAAACTAGACAAATACACTGGGACGGAGGGAGTATTGTCTTATTCACAAGAGAACCGCGTACGAATGAGAAACTTTAGCGTTACTCAATTGGAGAAATCTTGAAGGTCTTCGACATGTGGCGAGAACAGTAATTTCACTTTGGCATACACTACAAAAAACTGTTGAAATGACGATGAAATTATTCTGTCGCTAAAGCCTGATTTCCGTAGGTAATCTGCATAACGACGCTTTTTATTCCGTCGTTAGTTTTTCGTTAGTAATAAATTTAACGACAGATTACTAATTCCGTAGCTAGGCTACGACGGAAGTGGCAACGGAAAGGGGCGACTGGATTAACGACGGAAATATTTCGTCGCCAATGTGGATGACGGTTTTAGAAACGGGTTTAGAATTTTGATCGTACAGCGACAGAAATGATATTCCGTCGCCAAATCTGTCACAGATTTGACAACTTTAATACAGGAAGCTGTTGTTTATTCAATTTCACACACATCCATAGCAAAGTGCTCAAGCTCAGAATTCAAAGCACCAAACAACAACAAATACTAGAAATGAAGATTACCAAACAACCAAGAATATTCAAGTCATCAAGGCAACACTAAAATTCAAATAATATTTATAAAAGTTCAACATAACAATCAAATCTAACTCCACTTACATAATTATCAAACTTAGGTGCAATATAATGCTCTTTCATTCTAATAAAATAAGCAACAAGCGCCTGTAAACCGCGACCCTCCTCCATCTCCACCGCCATCTCCATTTCCACGTGGGAAAACTCCTCCATAGAGTCGGGTCATCTCTTCTCTAATTGACAATAGTTCACGCACTTGGGAAGCTCTAATGTCGTCTAGATCTTCTCTCAATGTGCTTATCTCATCATCTCGAGGGTCCCACATAGCGCTAGTGCTAGCACGTCTTTCCTGACTAGCATGCATTCGCAGTAGGCTCCGTGCGAGATCTCCAACACCATGAACACGATTCTTGGCATCATGTCCTCCGATTGTAGATATAGAAATCTCGTCAGGTGTCACATTCAATTGAATTGAATGAAAACTAATCATATATATATATATATATATATATATATATATATATATATATATATATATATATATATATATGGCCGGTTCAGGTGAGAATGCACCTTGGTGAAAGAAATAAGAATAAAATCTAGTCTTTGGATCTGATGCATCGTGCAGCTCAGATTCCATCCTGCACTCAGATTTTGAGATAGTGCATTTTTAAGGGATTTTGGTGCATCTAATTTTGATGCAATCATGACCCTTAGATCTCACAATCTAAATCACGAGATTCATTCTTATTTCTTTCTTAAGATCGCATTCTTACCTGAATATATATATATATATATATATATATATATATATATATATATATATATATATATATATATATATATATATATATATATATATATATATATATATATATATATATATATATATTGTTCGTCCTAGTTTTGATTACAATATTCTCTTTTTTTGTCCAAAATTGATTAGAGTAATCCAATTTACACACCTTTTGGACAGAATTACTTCAATTAATATCTCTACCCACATTATGATATTCATAGCATTTCAATCATCTACCATAAATAAGTATACGCCCATTACACATTATCATAAGGCTTATTGGGGATAATTTGGGAAAGATTTTTTATGTGACTTAATACTAAATTGCAGAAATAGGAATACTGTAATATTAATGGGATGGAAGGAGTAATACTTTACTATAATATTTGATACTCGTTTTATGAGAGTTTGACAACTGGACAATATGGGGTATACTTTAATTTAAATATATGTTTTAGTTACGAATAAATCCAAATTTTTGTCTTATTTAAAGTCATGTTTTATAGTTTACCAAGTTCTAAAAATACAAGTTAAAATATAATTTCTTGCGTTATGTAATTTTAATAATTTTAATCAATGATTTTAATAATTCTTGTCTTATGTACTTTAAGTAATGTTTACCTGATGATTTTAGAAATTCTTTCTTTAAGTGATTTTGGTTATTCTATAGTTTACCTTTTAAAACATTATTAACTACTCCATGCGTCCTGTAACGCCCCAAAATATACCATAAAATTTATTGAACTAAATATTTAATTAAACAAAATTTGTTTTGATTAAAATAAATTATTGTTGGGCTTCGGGCCGATGTAAAATATGTTTTGATATCCAATATCAAAATCTGAATAAGTCTCATAGAGACAAATACAACAGGTTGATTTATTATGTGATCTTGATTGGGAACCTAAGTACAGACCCAAATTAAGAATAAATGAAGAAATTGTTTGTAATGTGAACTTTGAAATGATTTATTGAAATAAATCATGGAAATAAATAATATGAATTAAATGAGAGAACCTTTTTGAATAAAAGTCAATTAAACCAATTTTGACCCTGTCAAAGTCAACCACCCAAAAATATGATGTTGGAAAAAGTATTGCAAATAAATATAAAAGTTATATCGTTGGATAGAGTTCGACTGTCTGGTTGCAACGATGCAAACAGAATTCAATTCGGAGAAAGTTGGACCAAAAAGAGTACCCGGACTGGGACCGAAATTAGTCCCAATCAGGGAAGAATCGTGTAAATATCCGATCGGCGCAGCCTCCTCCACTACGATACTTTCATACGCAGAAATGAGTCAGCCAGTGTCCTCTTCCCCTTCTCTTCTTCTATATAAGGATACTCCATCCTTACCAATTCTGCAGCAATCTTCTGGAAAATTATACCATTGTGTTCATAAGAGTGA